GAGGAGAAGGGCCGCGCGCGTAGGGGACCGAGCGGTAGGGAAAGGGAAAAGCAGAAAAGAGAAAAGCAGAAAAGAGAAAAGTGTATTGCAAGGGGGGGGGGGGTCGGTCCGGGTGTTGTTGTATTCTGCCCCCATTGCGGTGTGTCGCGGCGCGCCCCTTTCTCGCCATCATCTTCCACTCCACAGGACCGCCGCTCTTCAAAGGGAGATTGTCCACGTGTACACCTGGTGTACACGTGAACAACTAAAATCATCTTTTTGAAGGGTACCCCAAATCTCCCCCACACGACCCCCTCCCTAGCCCTGTGTGAACACGGGGTCCGATAGCCCTCTTCCTTTACTCGTCGTCGTCTCTAGGTGTATATACTCCTCTCTAATGACAGCCTGTCCTGTGCGGTCAGGCAAGTGCAAAGTGCGTTGGCGAATGTGTGTGTGTGCGGTCAGACAGTCCCGGGGTTCGCCGATGGGCTTTGTGCTGGTGTGAGTTGGATCATGGTGGTTAGGTGGTTATGTCTTTGCGGTCCGGTTATTTTGGTGAACAGGTCCGCGATGTTGTCCGTTGTCGGTATGTGGTGCACCGATATATTGCCTTTCCTTATGAGGTCCTGGATATGGTGGTGTTTGATGTCTATGAATTTTCTACGCTTGGTTGGTGCGACGTTCTTGGCTACGCTGAGCGCCGCTTGGTTATCTATCATCAAGGGTGTTGGTTTGTGTTCCGGTTGCTGGATGTCGGCGAGCATGCGGCGGATCCATTGTGTTTGCTGTGCGGCTCGGGACGCTGCGAGGTATTCGGCCTCGCAAGTGGACGTGGCGACGGTTGGTTGCCGTGATGATTTCCAGCTTATTGGGGCTCCGTACAGTGTGTGTATGATACCTGTGCGCGATTTTCTGTCTGGGTCGTTGGCATAATCCGAGTCGCTGTAAGATGGTAGTGCGATTTGTGTTTGACGGTTGACGTTTTTGTATTCATTGCCGTGTGTTCTCGTTCCTTTGAGGTAGCGTACGAGGGCTTTGAGGTTCTGTTGGTGGGTGATGGTGGGATTGTGCATGACTCCGGCCATTTTGCTAACAGATGTGTGTATGTCTCCTCGTGTGCTGTGTGCAATGTATCGCAGGTCCCCAAGGGTTTGGCGGAATATGCTGGCGTCGCGTGGGTTCAGGGGCTTGTTCTTCATTTCATCATCGAACGGTCCTTTTTTGGGTAGTGGTGAGTGTCGCGGGTTGCATTTCGTCATTCCTGTCTTGTTCAGGATGGTGTCGATAGCAGCAGTTTGTGACACGTGTATGCTGTCATTGCTCCTCTTGCGGATTGTCCAGTTTAGGTACTGTTTCGGGAATCCGAGACGTTTTATGTTGTACTTCTGTTGTAGATTAGTGTACAGTTGGGTGACAAGAGTTGGATGGGTGGCGATGACGAGGAAATCGTGCATACAGACGGCTGTGATTAGTGTACCTTTTGCATCGTGGCGATGGAAGATGTTCGGGTCGGCATCGGCTTGTTTGTGCGCGTGCGTTTTGATATGTTCCGTGAGGCCGTCGAAGTATATGCGGGATGCTGGTGGTGTCCAATATATGTTTTTGACAAGTCGGCCTCCCTTGCATGCATGTTTGTAGCTGCCGTCAAACTGTGGGTGCTGCTTGATATAGAATTTGCGTTCTGGGGGATAGTTTTCGTGGAGATATGCTGAAGTTATGTCGAAGTGTTCGACGGGCCATCTTTTAGCTGCAGCTATGGCTAGCAGGACGCGTATGGATGTTTTTTCTGCCATGTATGTGGTTGTGCTGTCACTGTCGTAATGGAGACCGGGCTTCATACGGTCTCTACGTGCTGAGCATCTGGCTTTACGCTGTGTGACTGTGCCGTTGGGAGTACGTTTGTAGCGATATGTCATTTTAAGTGGTATCAGTTGCTCGCGTGGGGGGAGCTTTTTGTCTGGTATCCACCGGGTGGTTTGTGATTTGTCGAGCTTGTCGAG